CCAAGATTCCCCTATTTAAATCTTTTACCTTTAACCTATAAGAACCCCCAAAAACAGAAAAAACAAAACTCTATAAAAGCTCCTTTTGCGTTTTACACACATCTATGTGCTGCTGTCTCTATTCTTCTACTGTAGGCACTGAAGATTAAGCTTCTTTCATCTAACCTAGGGAGACTTGAAAAAAACATGATGAGATTTACGTAATTCAACAGAGACTAGAGAGAGCATCTAGTAATCACCCCATCTTGGACTTGGGATTGGAAAGAACCCTGATGGCGATAACGGAAACATGAGCCCTGGAGATGGAGGTGGCTGAGGAGGACCTGGACCTGGACCGGGTCCGAGATTTCCTGGTTGAGCAGCTTGTGAAAATGAGAAGTTTGGGGTAAGTGGTGGAGGATACTGAACTCCCGGTGATAGTAACGGGTAAGGTGATCTAGGAGAGAACATATTAGCGTAACTGGTAGGAGATGGTAGAAGAAACTGGGATGTAGGTGACTGTAGTGGTCCAAAACCGTTATATCGAGGAGAAGGGAAACCACCATGCATCTGATTGAGCCTGGGAGAAGGCAGAGTGGGTGTGACAGGTACAGGACCACTGAACCGAGGGGAAGGAAGATTATGAGGCACTGGGCTAGGAACTAACCCGGGTGGTGGTACATACTGGTTAGGTTGAAGCGGGCCTTGCATATTCATTCGAGGTTGCGATCCAGGCATCATATGTGGCTGTTGCTGTTGCTGTTGCTGTGGAGGCTGAGCTTGCATATACGTCCGATGTTCATGACCTGGCCTATGAGGCTGAGGCTGAGGCTGAGCTGGAATGTAGGGCCGATGCTCATGACCTGACATATATGGCCGATGCTCATGACCTGGCATGTATGGCCGATTCTCATGACCTGGCATGTATGGCCGATTCTCATGACTTGGCATATATGGCCGATTCTCATGACCTGGCATACGAGGCGAGGGCTGAGCCTGAGCTGGCATATATGGCCGTTGTTCATGACCTGGCTGCATTTGATTACCATTGGGACCTGAATCTCCAAGTGAACTTTGAAGATAACGCATATACTCTGAGACGGGAGACTCAGCTGTATTAGACCAAAACTGGTCACTGTGACCCATCATTGGTTGTTGATGTGTGCCTTGTGGCAAAGGCGGCTGGGGTTGAGGCGGTCTAACAAAGTGAGGATGAGGTGGTTGAGTAGCCATGGCAGGGAGAGGAACAGGAGGCCGGCTTATCTGCGTTAAGGGTGATGGTCTAATCCTGTGCAACCGTGTATTCTGAGGCTTTGGTGGGTTGTTCGGAGGAGGCCGAGGAAGGCTTTCACGTGATGGAGAACCCGTTAGCTGCTGAACAATGCTTCTAAAGTCGTTCTTGCTTATATTATAAACCTGAGGCTGCGCTTGAGGCCTTGCAGCAGCAGCAGCGTTAGCATTCGCAGCGAAATTCGGTTGGTGCAGAGGACTCTTTCTGATATTCTTCCCAATCTTATTCACACCCAAATGATCATTCTGTCGAGGCCTATCCATCTCTGCAAATCCGACTCTATAACCCAATACTACTCTTGTATCAACAAAAACCTCACTACCAATCCAGAAAACATCCAACAGAATCAACAACACCAACTATAATCCAAGAATTATCCTCAGTCAGCGAAAAAAACCAAAACTTTCGCAGCTAATACTCTGTCTATTGATTAGTATCTAATCCAAGAAAGACCCACAAAAGAAACTGCTCATTATCCAACTAATGAGTCCAGAATCGAATCAAAATTCAGCAGAAAGTAAGTAGCCTAAGATAGTAGATCCTCAGTTCTTGAGCTACTTTATCCTTCCCTGAACAAAAAGCTTACGATCAAACAGTCCGGGAACTACTATTCCGACACTATCAATTCTCTGTCTATCCAACCAGACCAGCACAAAGAACAAAGTGATAACAGTAAGATGAAGCAAAAAGATCTGGTCTTTCACCTGAAAATCTCGGATCCGAGAACACTGAGAAGAGCCCAGAGACTAATTCCAATCAGATCTTTAAAGGACGATGCAGAGAGAAGGAGAATTAAACTGAACCCTAATTCTGTCAACGAAGAAGAAATGAGATGAAATTAGATTCCCTATTGTTTGTTTTTCTGTGTCTTATTTATATTTTTTATTCGTGTTTTGCCAGTCTGGAGTGACGTGGAGCTGACGTGTTTTCTATATATGTTAAAAATCAGTGAAAAATGAAGAATTAGTATGTAATAAGAAATAGCCAAATAAGAAAGAAAAAGAATCAAAAGATCATACTTATAAAATAAAAAAATAGAAAGGTTGTTTTTATATGCAAATAGGGCACTCTCCTAATTTAGAAAAGATAGATTTTTTTTTTATAAAATTAATATTCTTTATAATAATTTCCAATTTTTTTTAAAAATAGAATATTTCAAAAATAACAATCTCTATGAAAATGTGGATAGAGATCTATGCGAGATTTAAAGATTGTGGAAATGAGGCGTTAGCATGGACCTATGTTGCATTGAGAAGGGTACATAGACAAGAAACGGGGACGGAAACGAGAATGAAAAACAGCAATACTCAAAACTTATAAATACGGGTACGGTAGTACGTCAATAAATATATAAGAAAAGATACCTATAAATAAAAATATAAGAAAATTACATCATAAATCTCATTATAAAAGAACATTCAATCAATATAATAATAAATAAAGTTATTTTGACGTTAATAAATTAGAGTAAAAATTACAAACATATATGTATTAGAGAAAGACAGTTATACGGTGATCGGAGAAACGTAATTTGAAAAGACAGACTTTGTTGATTTGTAAAAAGTTAAGAATGGAGACTATATGAAGAGGTGAGTATCGATTATATATGAGATGTATTATAAATTTGAAACCCTAGTTCATATAAGTTTTTCCTTTTATACGTTTTCTTTATGTCTTTCTATTTTTTCTTAGAAAAAAATAATTATTATGCATAACAAATAACAAAAACACTAATTTTTGCCTAATAAGACCTCATCCCCGTTAACGGCCGATGTCCCCACATGTTAGAAATGTTTCCGAGACGTTTTGGTGTCGTCACCGAGTCATATCCGTCTCCAGGACGTTTTTAGTATGGGAGACGCCACCCAGTTACCGTCTCCGTGCATCATAGGCATGGACCATGACACTAATTAATGATAATTCAGCAGAACTTCAACCTAATATGGTTTCCTCATCAATTTTGATTTGCATTGGATACCACTACTTTATAGATGAATCATGGAAGGGAACTGACAAAAAAATTTGTGTAGGTTACTTTTACTGTAAAAAAAGGTGTAACGTGAAAAACATGGAGCAAGAAACCTCCGCGTAAATATATCCCCACCACAATTTAAAGTAGAATTATTTATTTGGGTCATGTATTGAATTACTTATTTGCAAAGCAGAAGACTTCAATTTCTATGCTGACAAAGTTGCATGTTTTTTATGTACATCTGGAAGAGTTCGTGAAGAGTAAGGAAATGTTTTCCTTTCTCTCTCTCTCATTAATCTCACACATCAGCAATTACATTTTTTATACTATTATTTATGTAAATTTTGTTCTTTCGGTTTAGATTTTTAAATCAGTTTAACAATTTTATAGTTGTTGACAAAAAAAAGGTTTGAATTTTCAAAACCTAGTTTTCTTGAAATTATTATAATTTATAGGTGGTTTTAAGAGTTACAACTTACAAGAAAGTATAATACATTATGCGTACTGGTATTTATTGCAAGATAGAGAAA